TTCATATTATTTATGTCATGAAATAATCAGCTTGTAATTAATTTTCTTTTATTTTTAACCATCGTATTTGTGTTTAATAGACAAAATTTAATTTTATTTTGTAAAACAATTGAGTTAATAAATTCAGTTTTGTTTTCTTACACGATGCCAATATTATTTAAATTTATTGTAATGCAATATAGCTTAAATTATATAAATTAAAAACAATCAAAGTCGACTTTAAAACAAAAGAAGGCACAACTAATTTTGGTTGAAATCGATGCATTTTAGCGAATTTTACTAGTAAATTTTTTTTTTTTTAAATTCTGTATCTTTTAATAATTGCTTTTTTTTCTTATTTGAAAAAAATTATCTTTATTAATTTATTACTGAATCTTACATTTTATTTATACCAAACACTAAAAAAATATTTATTTTTATTTCTGTAATTTTGATAAAAGTTGCAGATCTCAAAATTATTTAATTGAAATATTAGTTTTTGAAACCAACTTTTTTGTTATGAATCCAAATTTAGGTTTGTTATTTCACATCAATCATTTTTTCAATAACTGAAGTAGTAAATAGTCTTTTAATTATGCATAGATTAGCATTGTTGGTAAAACATTTTACTTTTAAAAAAGCTCATTAATACAAGTAATCATAAATTAAGAATACAACTATCGTTTTCCTGTAAAACACGTATGTTTGTGGTGAGGAAGAAGAACTGAATAGTGCTAATTATTTGCTTAAAAAAATTTTCTGAAAAAAAGTTTAAAAAATAGGATTCTCTTGCACTTTTAAGTTAACCATAATATTAATTACTCATTAATTACTCAAGGATGTATTCAAAAGTGTGCTGCAACATTTCTCAATAAATGCATATGAACCTGGAAATCTTTGAAAAGCAACACTGATTGCTTCATATAGTTAAAAGTTACATTGAAAAAAAAGTATAGTCATAAGTAACCAAATAAGATAAAGTTGACCTTGCTTCTAGCTCTATGGGAAAAACTAAAAAATACTATAATTTTTACCGAAGCACTTTGGTAAAGTTAAAAACAAAATATGGTTTTGTCGCTATGCTGTTTGGATGCAAAGGTGGTAAAATTTAATAATTTTATCATGATACCATAAAGCATGGCATAAAGCATATTTATTCGGTTATATTTACTTTTTAGTTTTGTATTTTTGATAAATGTGTGGAAGTAAGAATAATGATTCTAAAAACAAACATCTCTGTAACGATTTGAACTAAAAAGGTATAAACTAAATGAATGGTTTAAATTTCCTATATTTTGGATTTTTTAACCAGAATTATTATTTTTGTTTTTTACCTGAAATGCCATTACCATATAGTCTGGTAATTTTGGAAGAATTTTTTTCTTTCTGTATAAATCTTTAAAAACTTAAAAATAAAGTTTTGGAAGTGCCATAATTATATTGATAAAGACACAATATTTATTGAGATATCACAGCGAGCTTAAAAAAATACAACAAAGAAGTTTTTGTGCTTTAAATGACAAAATTGTATCTAGGTTGTTTACTTTTTTAAAGTCAAGAGTCACTAAGAGTTCCCTGAGAATTGTAATTTACTTAATAAATGAGGAAAAAAACACAATCTTCCAAAAATATATTTTATTTCCTTCAAATACAAAACATAAAATTTTATTCTTACAAAGCTATGGCATTAAGATTAGTTTTCAATCAGTATTACAATGAATGCAAAAATAAAATATGATATTTCATAAATAAAGGATGATACAATTTGATTAACTTTTTTTAAATTTTGGACAAACAAAAGTAAGTAGTAAGGTGTTTTGATTTTTTTTACAACGAAGAAGAAGAAAAAAAGTAAAGCCAAAATCGATTCTTCTTCAGAATTATACGATTTCTTGATAGACTTTAAGAAATATACGTTCAAATAAATCCAACATTTTCAAAGTGTTAAAGTAAAACCTTTTAGTGGCCAATTAACTGCGCTCTTTCACTCAATTTATTACTTTTGTCTAAGCTGATGAAAAGTTTAAAAATAGTCTTAAAAAAAGTTTTAATGTGTTGTAGACTACATTGTTCTAGGTTTAAGCAGTTCGTATTTCCTTTTAATCAATATAAATTACAATTCAATAATTAATTTTAAAATAACTGAAAATGAAGCAAAATTGCATCAATTTATCAAAGTAAGAATAAACTATCACAAATATTGTTTGGTAACCAATTATAACTGCACAAGGGTGGCGCCAGACTAAACCCAAAAGGGGGACAAACCTTGCCCAACAGGGGGCTCAAACAAATAAATTTGAAACATTTTAATGAAAACGTACTTTTCTCCCTTATACATTTATGTAAACATTCTGCGTTCAGTTGGAATGAGTTCCAGAAAAGTCAAAATAAACAATTTTGATATCATAATGTGCAGACTTATTTAAATGTAAATCTAAATAGCATTTTCTGTTATCGATGCATTTTGTCCAATGTGGGGCTATCTACTACATATTGTAAGCTTTAAAATTATTTCCCTATTTTAGAGAAAAGTAATAGTCCCCAACACCACTGTTTTAGAAATTTTTTTATCGTGGCCCACTTCTATACTCTATTGCAAGTTTTAAAAAAAACCATTATCCCTATGGAGAAAGCTTGCTTATATCTTAAGTGCTCGCCAAATAGATGCCAAGTTCCCAACGGAAAGTATATCAATATCGTCAAGTCTTGAAACTACGTTGCACAGCCTCCTTTTTTGCTTACTTTCTTATTAATTATAAAAAAAGTTATTAACAACAATAATCAGCTAACAAGTAATAAAAAATAGTAAAAATTTTATCTAAAAATAGTAACAAATATACGTCTTTCTGATTGCATTTAAAGAAACTGATGAAGCAATAATGAATATTATTTTTTACAGATAATTTTCTTCTACAGCTTAAAAAAATGTCAAAATTCTTTATATCGCATTTAATTTGTTAAGAACATGTCAGCATTTTTAGTGGTCCAATCGACACACAGATATTTCTTTTTCAAGAACGAATGTTCCTATTTGTCGAAATATGTCGACAAGTCTAAGATTTCAGTAAAGCTGCGAAATTATAACCTTTTTTTTTAATAATTCTGTAATATATATCGTAAAAGATATCACGAATTAAATTTCTTCCAGACTGGTTTAAAATTTTCTCGACTTTTAAAAAGCATTCTGACATAAAGAAATATTATTATTTCAATTATTGACTTTTGAAGCATTTTGTGGAAAATTTATTTTTTGTTTTTGTACCGCGTAATAGTTCAATTATGTTCCACGTATGTCCCATTTTGTTCAAACTCCGAAATGGTTTTGCTTATTAAAATTTATTCAAATTGCCCTATAGTATATTTTTTTCAGAAAAAAAGATTATTTTAATTATGGGGTTCGATGTTAATATCTATCTATTCTTTCTTAATGTGTTTTTAAAGTGAATTTTTGTTCTAATTTTTCATTTGAGAAAATTTATCGCTTTAAAATATAAAATTCGTACAGCATAAATTTTTTTTAAAATTTTTTGAACTTAAAAACTTTATATTCTATATTAATTTCTATATTGATACCAATCATATTAAAAAAAGCCTTGTATTAAAAAAGTCCTTTTGACGTTTTCATTTAAATAACAGAAAAATGCATTTCTTACAAATTTTTTTTTGTCTCTAAAGCGATAAGTTTCTAATTTTTAACTAGTTATAAATAATTTGTGCACCTTAAATAGTAGTATTTTGACAGTGACATGGAAATGTATCGTGATATTGGACTTTTCGTAATATTCCTCTTGTTATACAGTGTTTAAAAATTGCAAAAAGGCGAAATGAAATTTTGATTTAATAAAAAATAATTACCGGCGATAATGAAAAGTATTAAAACTGTACTAAACTAATTGTGAATGTTTTAAAAATGTACAGTTAGAAAAACTTAATACCTCCAATATTTTGTTTCATTTTCCTTTATTTTTACTTTAGCTAAGAGATGATAACACATATTTTAAGTTTTGAAACATATTCAGTAGTGTAAATATTAATCGTTAGTTTGCTAACGAAAAAGAAAAATTGATCTAAATTTTGCTATGTACATTTACAAATGAAAAGTAAGCTAATTTTATGTAATTAGGTAGGCATATGTTTTTTTATTTCATAAAAAATTAACGTAAAAATAAAATGTTCTAAGTACAAAAAAATGAATGCAAGTTGAATGGGAGATATTTGCTTTATTTTCCTATCGGAATTTATTCATAATTCACATAGATGATTCGTTGCTTTTAATGCTCAACCCCGTAGTTGTGCGATTTTGGACCAAACTCTGAGTTAAGCCTTAGGACAAATTTCACCTTCGTGAAGTACTCTGGAATTGAAACAAGCTCGCATTTGAGCCCGGCGATTTGTGTTCCATTATTTGTCCAATGGCAAGAATACTCTCATTCATGACATGATCCATCTAGTACCAGAGGTCTAGTACGTCAGTGCAAATCGAGAGCTGTATACGAATGAGCACGGAGATTCAAACCCTAATTTCCCCAATAGGAAGTGAGTGCTAAATCACTTATGATATGAGCCATACCTTTACACTAATATATTTTAAGTAGTAATTTTACTATGTCGTTTTATTATTTTCATTATGCGGTGAAAGTTTGCCTGTACTATAGTCATTATCAAAAAATATGGTCACGTGAGGACGATGGAGTTGGACTGCCTTCTTGTCTCCCTTTATCTCTAAGGGGTGTTGAATAACTTCCCATATGGATCTTAACACTCTTCTTAACACTCTGAATTTTCTGAGAAAATGATGCTTCATTAGAAAATAATGTAATCAGTTCTTTTTTTTAAAAGAAAAGTAGATTTTTTTGTGAAGATAAGTATATTTCTTATATAAGACAGTGGTTTTTTTCCGACGAATTTTAAGCTTGTCTCTATAATGGCAAACGAAGCCCTATAAAGGGACAATTCCCCTCTGACCACCTACTGGCACCGCCCTTGTAGTCGAATTTGTAAAACAGAGATAAATAGAAAGAAGTGTTAAATTGAATTTGTTTACATTTCACTTGATATTATGAGTGCTTGATATCAAGTTATATTTAAACAATTTACCCTAAAAATCTTTCAAACAAATAGTCAATATTCTTAAATCTTTTCTCAGTAATAAATTAGTAAAGGTGTAATTTTACATTATATCCTTATATGAGGATAATTTACAAAAAATATTCGAATCGTCATAGTAATAAATGAAGACTCGTTGCTATCAACAGTTAAATTTTTTTTTCAAAGGAGAAGGGTGCAAAAATTTTCATCTATAAATCATATTGACAAAAAAAGAATTATATTCAAGTATGAACCCATTAATATTTGTATCATCAAAGATTTGAAGACATGCATTATTGGCTGTTAGATTAATATGAAGCAAACAATCTGACCTCACAAAATTCATATAAACTCCTCGAAAGTTAATACTCAATGACTACATTATCTGTAATCAGCATCCTCTGATAATATAATCTGATATAATATTATTTGCAAAATGTATTTTCACACGTAAAACATTTCTTACTATGACTTTACTGAAAGAGAAAGTGATGTGTATATGCGATTTGCATACTTTTTTTTCTTCGCATAACATTATAAAATAACATTATAAAAGTTATGATTTTATTTTTCTTTGAAATAGTTTTGATTAATTATTCATAAAAATAATTGTTTAAATGCAAGGGATAATACCAGTTTTAAACATTAGTCCATAAGAAATCAATTATTGAATCGTTTCTATTACAGTTTCAAACATAAAAAATTATTATATAAGAGATTTTCTGTTGTCACATTGATTTCACAATACTTAATACTTATTTACACCTTCTAAAACTTATAAAAATATCACATATATTTTTTCTTTTTTTATACATCATTATGTGTAATTCAAGTAAGTTTTCTTAACAAAAAAATTTAATATTTATATCAGGTTATATAAGCTTGATATTTATAATATATCGTAGACCAAATAATGAATGAAATATATAATTTTATTGGTAGGATTGAAATATGGTTGGCAGAGGAATATGGCAAAGCTGCTATTCCTTTTGAAACTGTTTTAGTTCCGTTATTCGGTAATGGCTCTATGTTCAAAAGTTCACAAAGGATGTTGTAAATATCCACCATTTGCAGAGGTTGAGATATGTAATTCTTCTTTAAGGCTGAAACGAAAGGTATAATATAAAGCGATTAAAATGATACTAGAATGAAAGTCTTACAGATTGTTTATACATTTTGAAAACAGCCTATCAGTATTAAGAGAAACACCGAATCCTGCGTTTTCAACAATGCATTACTTTTCGTTTCGTAACTGTTTTCCATGAATTTAATTTTACTAAACGTTATATAAAAATTGGGTATTTTAAGCAGTTTGGTTAGTGTCATATGAGCAAGTCACTCTTAAGAATTCCCGAATTGAAGTAACATGAAACTCAGAAAGGAATTGCTATCAATTAGACGAATTAAAGTTAGAAAATGGAACCGAATATGGAGAGTCATGTTTCATCAACAAAATTAATGGCCTCATAGGTCTTTGAAATTTTGACCATTTTTATTTTATCTTCTTCACTATATTTATCAAGCTATGTGTCCTTCAGAATTTTTGTTAATTTATTGGCAACATCATATCACACATGACACAAAATTAAAAATTCAACTCTTGCGTGCATTTTGGGATTCCGTTAATTATAAATTTAAAGCATTTTTCCTAAAAAAAAAATTGAAACCCTTAGAGGACGCTGTACCGTGGGGGAAACTTTTCATGGCAAAATCACTTGCACCTCAATAAGTAATTTAAACATAGAAAATGTGACGAAAACCTAGAGTAAGCCACGAAGCTTCAAATATCGAAATTTTTTTTCTTCAAAATATCAAATTGAAACAAGTTATGAGAGGATAACTTAGAATTATGTAATAGTGAAGTGTTCGTATTTTGATATTTTTAAAATTTTTTTCAGCAATTGAAACTTTATTGTTTACTTAATTCTTAATGTCTAGTTAATGTCTGAATTTACTTTTTCTGTACTTGAAATTTTTAATTAGTTATGGTGGTGAAATAGAATTTGCAATGAAAAATTTCTCCGGTGTTGTAGCTTTCTCTTAAGAGATAGAATGTATCTTGCAGCATAAATATTTGCGAAATTTGCCTAAAATTTGTTTTTTTCCTTAATTATATGATAAAAAAATTTATAACACAATACAAATGAAATTATAGTAAGATTCTTTGATAGAAAAATAATAGTTCTCTGTACCTGGTCCTCGTGCGAAGAATATCCCACGCATATCTGGAACTTCATAAGGATCATAACCATGAGATCCTCGTGATATAGATGAGCCAGTAGGAATATTTTTGCCTGGAATATCCAGCTATAAAAAATAATTTGATTTAAAATAATTAAAATCCTGAACACTCTAAATCCTACGGTTTGTTCATAAACAATCAGCCTGTAATCTAATTGAAAGCAACATATTTTTCAAAGTCATTTTTTATAATAATTTCCAAGCAAATTTTGCTAATTGTTTTACAGTTATCAAGAAAATTAAAAACAAACAAACATTGCCCATTTGTAACCATTTTTTGTAGTATCTTCTTCAACATAGTATATATCTGTTGTGTTATTGTTTGTATAATTTTTTAAAAAAGTAAAACAAGCGAATAAAACTAGATCTAAATTTAAAATCAATCAAAAGCATAGCCATTCATTTAACACGATAAATTTAATTTCAATTACTGCAAATTATTTTCTGATATCATTAGAATTCTTTTTTTTCTTTCAAAAAGTTAACTTTTTTACGAAAAACATACTAGCAATAACGAATATAACTGAATAAATATAATTATTTCTCCATTCCTAGAAAATTGAGTTATATTTTTAATTAGGCTTAGTAATAGTTTTATTGAATAAGTGCTAAATCACATCTTTGAATTTGTCGTCATAATAAAAAATCTAAAAACTATAAGAAACATGATTTTTAATCATTTGAGATTAGCAGTGAACGTATAAATTTTGAACTTACGCCTTTAATGTAATAATTCTTTGAAGCTACCAGCAAAATTGGCAAAGTCAATCTGCTATTTTTTATGTGATAATGCTCTGGTATTTCTTCTTTAAGATAAACATGCAAGCCAGTTATTCCTTTAAGAGCTTCATGAACCTGTAAAAATTACATTTATATCGAAAACTTGCAAACACAACAAATAAATGAGCAACAAATAAATGAGTTCATAAATTGATTCTAAAAATTAATGCAGTGTTACTAGAGAGAAACATTAAAATAATTTTACAATTATAACATTAAAAGAAAGTTTTGAGTGACGAAGATTTAAAATTTCTAGGAAATTGTTCTATAGTCAATAATATTTTAAAGGTAAACAATTAAAATCGACAATTCAGACTATAAAATTTCTAACTTCATGACTGCTGCAAAATATTAAAAAAAAAATTTTTTTTTAATTTCAAATTTATTTTTCAAACTTATTGATGATAATTTGATGAAAATGTTTTTTTGATATTTCAATTGCTGTTTATATTATTTTTCTTTTGAAAATCCTAATTTAAATAAATGCCATAACGTTTGTGATAAAGTATATTTTAAGATTGAAAATCATAAATTTTAAAAACAGAAACATCAAATTTTACGCATTTCTTTCTACACAATGTTAATAAAATAGTTAACGTGAAATTTAAAATTTACGATACTAGTTGTAAACTTTTTAATCATTACTGCAAATTATGCATGCTAAATAATTGCTGAATCGAGTAATAAAAAATTATTTCATTTTATGCTAACATCGAATCTTGTGCTCCATAAATTACTTATGTGTGAAGGTTACCTATAAAGCTTGTATTCAATTTAAGTTTATTTTAGAGTAGTACATTTTTCAGGAAAATGTGCACTTTATAAAATTCTAGATCAAATTACGGTTAAAAATACCGTTACCCAAGGTGCAAATAATTTTTACCGTAAAATTTTACAGAACAAAGAATTTGATATATTTTAATTTTACAGTAATATCTACTGCAAATTCACTGAATCACTGTAATTAATTAAATATCACCGTAAAAATTACGGTATAAAATTTTACAGCAAAAATGTATTTTATGGTAAAAAGAATTTTAAGGACAGGATATCAGAACTTTTCACCACAATTTGATCCGGAATTTTTTAGTGTACAAACAGAAAAAAATTTAAAACATTTGGCTAAGTTTTTAAAAAATATAATGAAAGCAATCAAATTAATTCTGGATAATTTTTTATGTTTATTATACTTATGTTAATTATTACTCTTAGAACTTTGTGCATATCGTGGGATACTTTTATTGTATATTTCTTTGCATTTTGTTTATAAAACAAAATTCGCTAGACTCAAATAATAAGACTTTTATTTGCCTCAAACCTGTACAAAAGGCTATTCGAATCAAATTAATTACATTTTTTTAAATCTTTCAATACAATTGAAAAATCCAAACAAGGTGTAAAGCAATATTTTTTACATAGACAATTGCTTTAAAAGGGTATACAAATAAAAATAATATCATGAAATACTATTTCTTAAATCATATTAAACAATGTCCAATATATTGGACAGGGGGTCATAGGGGACATATTGAAAGTTGAACAATAGAAAAGAGAAAACGTGGAAGCATAAGGAAGCACTGATTTAGATAAGCATCTGAGATAAGGTTTTTGAAATAACATCTCTCCTTAAAGTTCAACCTTTCTTTATTCTTTAAATCGAGTTTCATGAAAAGAAGGAAAACATATCAAATGAAAGAGGATTAGGAAACAAAAACATTTCGTTGTCCAGTTTATACCTTTATTTTGATCTGATTTTTTTAAGAAGTAGACCATAAAGTAAAAATACTGGTTTTTACACATAAACAACCAACAAAAATGTATAAAATATTAAATTGTCAACTAATAGAATAATTTGTTTAAAAAGGAATTATATTTAAAAGCAATTTTAAAATAGTTACAAAAATTTAAAAAATAATGTCCCATCTTTAAATTTTTAATGAAACATAATTTATAACTGATAAAAGGAGGTTGTTCTCATTATCATCACTTGTTGTTTACGCTTAACATATTTCATTTAAGAACTTCAATGAACAAAATCGAATCTTCCATCTAAGTGCCTTTTAAAAAATTCTTCTTAGTTTACAGTTTAATGCTTCGTAATTATACAAATTTACATCATATGCTCAAATTAAGTCATCAAATCAGGGGTATTTATAAAAATTCAAATTGATCTTTTGATTATAAGGAAAGTTAAAATAATTTAAATATCTTTGTTTTTAAAAGAATAAAAGATTTGAAATAACTTATTTTATAAAATAATGTAAGCAGCGTGCTGAATTACTTTTTATTTATGAGGAAGAAATATTCAAGCAATATTTGCTGGAAGGAAAATTCTGCGCTCATTAAAATGATTTATTTGGTAAATGTAAATAAATAAATAACATATTGAAAATGAGTGTATTTTTAAATTATATTTCTGAGCTCTTTGGTGTTATTGCACGGAGAAAAACGTTTTGGTAAAATTACCGTACGGTATTTTAATGACATTTCTGGTGAAAAAAATCTTAATTTTGGTAATAAAAACCGAAATATACTGTATTTATACCATTTATTTGGTAAGTTTGCAGTTCATATCGTAACATATTACCGAAAATTCTGGTTTCAAAAATTATGGTTCTTATTACCATATATTTAGTATGAAATACAAATTAAAAGTAAAATTAATAGAATAAATAGTTGTCAAGCCATACACTACGGTATCATGATAAAATTATTACTTTTATCAAATTTTATCACACATTATAAAACCACATATTATTTTTAATTTTACCAAAATCATTACGAAAGCGCTTTGATGAAAATTGCCGAGCTTTTTAGTGTTTCAATAGAGCCAGAAACACGGCAAATGTTAGCTTATTCTTATAGTTTTGATCATACTTCTTTCTCAGAGTGCATAATATGTAACTTGTAATTAGTTTATATTTTAGTGTTATGATATTTTCTACTAATTGCAGTAAAACCCATTAATTGCAATCCTGTGTTTAAAAATATTCTAGAATTAACGAGAGAAATGGGGTATTTTTCTTCGTTCAATATCATTAATGTATTACAATAAAATATTTTTTGCAAATTTTCCACTTTTTCTTGGCAAAATAATTTTGAAACCATTGAATATTGAAACACGGCTGGTTGCAAAAAGTGATAGTGGCATGGAAGAGAAAGATGAGTTACCCGTCTCCGTGCGTCTGCAAGATAAGTGCATTAAGCAAATAAATGATGTTGTTGTGGCTTAAGTACCACTACAAATATTGAATACCAATTCACTAGTATATAAGACATGCTATCTTGATCCTATCACGAGGTACCTTTTATTAGATGAAAGTTGACATTCTCGACTTCTACTATCCCCACATTGGTGAGCCGGACGTGATGTGAACATGCCAACCTTGACAGAAACTTCCACTTCGATATGAACATGCCTGTCTTGACAGTAACACTTACTTCGATGGATGATCCACATTGAACAGTTGACTTGCTACTTGTGACTGCTACTTTATCCACCTCCTCGCGCTGTTTCTACTCAGTCTCGATCTCACATAACGTACAACGTATTCACTCGACTGCTGAAAGGTAACACAGGAGAGACTACGACCGTGATCTTAATACAGCTCTCCGGGCTTCTCACAAAACTGCAATGAATCAACTAGTGGTATCCAGTCATCGAATTCTATCACAGCTATAATTCTGGTGGGGGAGTACTATTGTGTGTCTACCACCACAAAATTACAATTACAATTCACTAGTATATAAGACATGTTAACTCGATTCTGTGATGGGGTACCTTTTCAAAGTTGACATTGTCGATTTCTACTATCCCCACACCCAAGAAATTGAATTTGTAAGTTTTTTTTTGTTTCGCTCAAAACATAAAATTAAATTATTGTCTCTAGAATACAGAAATTTTGTACTACATTGTCAATAATATTATAAAACTCGAAATATTATCGGCAAATGTAAGTAGGTCTATTAAATAAGTAAAATATTGTTCATTGCCGGATTCAATATCTTTATTAGACAGAATAAAAAAGCAAGATTCTCTATACTCATTTGTTTCTACCAAAACAATATATGGTCACAGCAAAATTGATTTTCCTGGAGTCCCAGAGAAGACGAAAAACACCGCATACTAACTTTCATAACAACTGATCCTGATCTCAGATTAATAGCTGTAATCACATAACCAGTTTCTGGCGAGTGGCTAAAGATTTGTAGCTATTATGTGAGATAAAGAGAAAAAAAAGACTAAATAATATTTCTTCTCATATTGACTGCTGTGTTTCGTTATTTTTAAGAAACTCCTTATCAAGCTTTGTAAAAAAATAGTGTTCATAAAAAGTAGTTTTGCTCGTTAAGAATTTATAACGAAAACATATCATATTAACAGTTCAAATTAAAAAAAGTTTTTTTTTCTCTCTTGATTTAAACTTTTTGATGTTGTTGTGGCGTAACTACCACTACAAATATTAAACACCAATTCACAAGTATATAAGACATGTTAACTTGATCCTATCACGAGGTACCTTTTGATAGATGAAAGTTGACATAATCTATAATTAAAAAAATCCCCTCATTGGCAACATTTGTGGCGATGACAACGAAAAGATGGAATGCAGGAGTTGCGGAAAGAGCGAGTTATAATTCCCCACAATTGGCGACCCGGACGTGATATGAACTCGCCAACATGATGGATGGTCAACATTAAACAATTGATTTGCTTAATTGTAAACATTGATAAGTACTATAATATTGATAATGATGTAATCTCCCTTTGACACAGAATTTTTATTAAGCATATTTTTCACATTTTTTTCATTATTTTGAATTAATTTAGGTCGAAATAAATGAAAAATATTACATTTAGAATTTTAATAATTTACGGTTATGAAATACAGCTTGATACACCGGTGTTTTTTCTGAGTTAATATTAAAATATTCCAAACACTGTCCACTTCTAAACAATTCCACTACAAAATCAATTATTTATCAATTTTTTTAACATAAATGATTTTTTTTTCTAAACTACTTTCTTTTTGCATGATTTTTCTTTGCATGATTTTCGGGAACCAGACTGATGC